GTTTAGTTGGTTCCATGTTACCAGAATACTCAACGTATAAACGACTATAGTTCCGTATAGGATAAAAGCCTCAGACAAACAAAATACCGAACCTGAAACATTTCAAAATATAAAATTGTCTATTAAATTCGATGTTTAACTCGTCAGTAGGTATAACACATGTTCCCTCGTGGGCTGGTCGTGTCAACTTTGTGAAATAGGTACAATAGTGTTAGTAAAACGCAGTTAAAAAATTATTAGTGCAGAGAGATTGAGAGGTAGAGAGATATTAGATATACTACAGAATGAGGGGGTGTTGGATGTTATTATAAAATATAAAAGTATGGAGATTTTTTGAAAAATATTTGATCGGCCGACTTCTTTCGTGGAGAACGACGGGGAACAAGTCGGAGAAGAAGGTTGATGATATTAAATTGGGTGAAGTAGAGTAACTGCGACTGCTGAAATTTCCAAAGTAATATTCAAACATATTAAATTTTGATTTTAACTAATAGACGCTAAAGCATTTTACCGTTAATTAATAAAAGATAAATGTAGGTGTATACAATAATAATAGGATATCTCGCTTCTGGTTAGTGCATTATAACGAAGGTAGCCGTCGTGTCGCATATATATAGGTAGTGACTAGTAACCGCCGACCGGTAGCTGTGCGTACAGCATAAAAAGTTTTCGAGACAATGAAACAATAATATTGTATCACATTTAACGCAGGTACGCTAAATAACCGTATCAGTGTAACGCAATTGTTGTTATCGCCGTTTTTCGGATGATTGACGTTAAATGAAAATTGTGTTCGCTCACACTATCGACAACCTAATCTAAACTTACTTGTACGCTGCGTGTTAAAAAAAACAAATGTAATAATTAAGCACACTTATTGGTTTTGTCGTCGAAAACCTTCAAAGTATAATATAGGTATTTAAACAACTTTAATTAGTGGTCTGTGTTCGATAAGGACTCGAGAAGGTGTTCGGTTTTACAAAGACGCGATTTTTTTTTTTATGTTTAGAGGTGCGATACAACTTCTAAACAGCTGGATTATTTTTTTTTTTTAGTTAGCACATCTATAGGTTTACACATCTTAATGGGGTTGGTAGTCTAGACTCTAGTATATTAAATATTAAAAATGCCCCTTAGCCGTCATAAATCGAGAAAACCCCTTATTCAAAACACTATTGCAAAAAAAGCTTTTATTTTTTTCTGTCGAATACACTCGACTTAAAAACACAATAAATATTTTAATAAAAATCTGGTTTGATTTGATAAAATTATCATTGATATTGACTATACAAATTGTTTGGTTATTATAAAGAAGAATTATAAATAGTTGATAATTTCTTTGATAAATTGTCGACAATTATTGATATATTTGATAGAAGTATTTCATAATAAAATATTATTGAGATGATTAATTAAATGTAAAAACAATAAAAAATACATATTTACAATTTGTAATACAAATTTAATAAAGTACCCGATTACCTAAAATGTATAACTAATAGAACGTTATAAGAACAACCTATTTTTTATAATAAAAAAAGCAAAAAAATATTACATTTATCTTATTTGATTGTTTACTGTTTTTTTCATCGAGTGTAGGTTTGCATTAATTAAACTATTATCTGATGCAAGTATTATCTCCAAACTATTTCTTCTCACAAAGTGTGCATTGTTTTTGTTTTTTTTCAAGATACAGCGTTTAAAGTTTAAAAGTTAAAAATCAGATTAAAATGAGCTATACAATAAATTAATAATGAAATTATTCTTATGGATTTTCCAGATTTTAATTTTATTTCTATTTTAGTTAAATAGTACAATTTGAAATAATCCCAATAAAAATAGATACTGTTATTCTAGCCATATAAAATTGTTACTAATACTCATAGATGTAATTTGTAGATAATATGTTTCTAAATAGAAAATATGTTCGTATATTATATTATATTATAGTATAGCATTTTGTATAGTTAGGGTCTTTAGTATTTCTTGAAACAGTATATTTGTGTACGGAAAAATAGTTTTAGATAAAAAAAAACGTATCTTTATTACATAAAATATAAATTGTTTATAATAATTAAAATTAATATATTATTATAAAGGGTGGTTTTAAGTAACCGATTTTGAATAAATACTTCTTGAGTTTATTCGTATTTAAATTTAGCACTGCCCTCTTTACCTAAGACTTTAAAACGAATAATTCTAGAAGTATTATCCAAAACTTGTCATCGATCAGTCATTATATTGATTGTGACATTCTGGTTTTCATAGGTAAACCTAACACGTAGGTTGTTATTTTAATTAACTGTTATCCTCTAAAACTACTCAATAAGAAAATATATTTTACTTGAACAATATAAGTTAGTTTGTTAATTTGTTAATGCAATAAAGTTTTATATACAACTTTTTTTACTTTAACCAATTATTTCATAGAAAATTATAATGTATCATGTATATTGCGGTGGTTTTTTACTTGTAAATTTTTGATCGACACTTTCAGCAATGTAATTCGGCAGGACAACGGCCAGCGAAGCACATCCGAAACCCTGAAACATTCGGCCCAAGCACATCCCAACTATGTCTTGGGGGAACAGTATTATAACACAGCTGGCAAACATCAAAGCTGTCGTACCGAACAGCATTAATTTGTACTGGCCAATGGATTTCAACAGATTACTGCAAAACTGGGCCCAAACTATAGCTACGACATACATCGTGACCTTTATGATATTCTGTTGTGCGCCTTTGAAAACTGCCATATCTTCCGTTGAAAATGTTACCGACGACCACGCGAGGGTCATACCGATGCAAGTACTGACCACTAATGAGACGATAAGGGACGGGACGAACTTTTTTGAATACATAACGTTTCCAAGATGTTACGAAAATGTTAAACGTCTAAACTAATAAAAATATGTACAGCTGGAAACTACACAAATTTAATAATTAAACAAGTCGAAGGCGTAGAAACCGAATTCACGCAAATAAGCCGTACGATTTTCGTCCAATTCGAATAGTGCTATGTCATGGCATTTTCATCGCCGAGTGCTCCTAAATAATTGTAAATTACTTTTTTCAAAACTTGAATAAAAGTAACTACAATAACAAAAGAGTCTAGCGATATTACAACGAGGAAAATTGTTTGGGAACACCCAATATAATATTACACCAAAATGAACACCTATCTAAGAACAATAGAATATTACAATACGTATTCAAGTTGAGAATTTTGGTCTTTGTTACCAATTCCGTTAATACATATAAAGTTATTATTGATTTTAAATAATTGACTTTTTTTTATTATGGTTTTTGTATTTATAATGTGATAATTATTTATTTGATTGCTTGCGCTCTATCAAATTAATCAAAGTTGGCCAATCACAATACGTAAGCCATTAAATTTATTTTTTTAACGTCAACCGTAGAATATTGAATTAGCCTTTGATGTCCTCGGTTTTATATTCGAGACTCATTTTTATATAATATTCGTGCCAACAAAGAAGCCACAACAGTGACGTTATTAGGACGGGCAATTAATGTGATACCATCGACTTGCCAAAAACTATTTTTCAATCGCAATACAAATTTAAATTATAAATAAAATATTAAAGGAAAACGGGTACAGATTTGCTGTTTATAAACAAATATGGTAAAAGTTAGTAATAATAGTAATTGTATTCATGTACAACGCGATAAATATTTGAAAGCACCGTCTAGGGAGAAAAACCTTAGGTACTTTGGCTCTTAACAATGGTTTATATTTGTGTTACTAATTTCTCTGAATATTTTTTATGGTACTTACAGATAATACTATTTTGATGAATTTCAACATTAAATTTAACACAACATTGATCAACCAAAAAAAAAACCTAATTTAGATCATATTATATTAAAATTTCAAACTTATTCAATTTTATAATTAAGTCATCTCAGTTGCTATTTTCAGTCGTGTTTTGTAGAGTTTGCCACACATAACGTGTGGTAATGTTAAGTTTGCAATTAGTTTTGTTGTTTGTGTTGGTACTGCAAGTTGATATTGGTTTATGGCTTTGGTTCTAACCGGTGCATTCGAGTATCGAATTGCTTCCCTAAGTGACCTTTTTTTATTGAAGTTATCTCCGGTGAGACTCTTGAGGAAATTAAAGGTCTTAGGTTACTAAAAAATAGTATTTAAAGTACACGGTATAAAATAACTCGGATTTATGTGTACATAAATATTGTATTCGAGGTACAAAACAGCAAATACCATTTTGTACCTATTTAAAATAAATGTATTCAACATCGGGCGCGGATACAAAAAAACTAACGTTTTTGATTCTGCAACTACAACAACGACAACAATAATGACCTCTGTTGTCATTGTTCTTTTTTCGGAATCTCTGCAGGGGGGGGGGCAGAGGTAAATAGTCGACTAAGGTGTATGAATGTGTGTATAAAAAAAGAGACGGGTACATAGAGGTGTCTGTCGTTGGCCACGGAAAAGTTCTGCAGTGCGGTTTTGATTTGGCCGACGACTCATTATTCATTTTCGGGTTCATTCAACAGACCGGTGCGCCGCAGAACCCGCGGCCAGATCCGGCCGGGAAAGGGTCGGCCGAGGACAAGGCGGACGCACGTTTACACGGTGACACGGTGGTCCCGCGTACACGTCGGAATTCGCGGATGTCGGCGGATAAAATACTTTACCGGTCGCATGGCGTTTCCGCGGAAATCCCTTTCGTCCGTTACACGACGCGACTCGCCGCGTACACCACATAATATCCGCCGCCTAAATGCCCACGTACATACGCGCACCAACGCAATAATACAAGCATACGCGTTCACGCACAGATATTTACACACACCGGCACACGTGGGCTCGCGACAAAAGCCACGGTCCGTCGTGTCCGGTAGGAGGCGCGCGCGCTTTTGGTTTATGCGGCCGAAAAGAGCGAGACGCCGTGTCGAGCTGAGCGAACCGCGCGTCACGTTGGAAAACGGCGGTAGACGCCGGGACGCCGCTATCGTTTACGGTCGGACGACGTGAGTACATCACTCGCACGCGCGTCGTCGTAAGTATTATCGTTCGTTTGTCCGCGGAAATCGTTCAAATACCGCGCAACTTGGGCGGCGAGAGAAATTTGTCGTTTAACAGAAAAAAAAAAGGCTATTTCAAAATCAAATATTGAAAAAACGCGTTTTGCCTCGTTTCCGGTCGGCCGCCGTCGCGCTTTAACGGATTCCTCGGACCAGGTGAGTGTCCAAACCAGTGTACAGCATATTATTATACTGCACGCGCTTAGGTACCGCACCTGTGTATGTACAGCAAATCGCGCACATGTGGTAATCCGTTAGGCGGTTAGTAGTAGTCGAAGTGCTTGGGCAACTCTGGCTACTCGTCTTGAACGTTTTGTAGTTATCCAAACACAAAAACATCCGGAATTTTAGGTAAAATCTAAATTTTCAACATTTAAAAAAATCCCAAAATACCATATTAAAAAAAAAAAAAAATGGTATTGAAAGTCTAATCATATATTTTATGAATGTGAACAATTCTATAGAGAACCATCTATTTTACTTTTTGTCCAATTCTGATGATAAATAGATCACAGATAAATATTGTAAGCGATGATAATAATATGTTAATGTAATGACGATTATTACATAAACATTGTTTTGAAGCACCGAATACCCAAACACATCTAACGGGTTGGGCTTTTTTTTTTTTTAAACTCGAATTTTCGTCCTGTAATTAAATCTACTCAAAGAGTTGTAGAATAAAAAAAATGTTTCATAAAATAAAAAATGATCCGAAACAGTTATCATAATTGTGTTATTTATTTATGAGTGTTTTTAGGTAACGTTTATTTACGTTTATAATTGGAAATTGTATTGACAAAATTAATTTGTTTGTCTTATTTTATATTTATTATGTTTATTTTATATTGTCGAACGATGGCAGGTATATAGGGATTATTATACTTGAGTGATAATATATATTAATATATTAAATAAGTATTATACATATATATATTTATTATATTCACATTAAAGTAAGTATTAACTGTTAACTAAAACAAGTTTACTTGAGATTTTTGAAAACATGTTACACTAAATTAAATCCACCTTCAGTTTAATTTGTTGACCTTAAGTCCAAAAACTAAAATTGAAAACAAGTCGCCGACCCATCTTAGGGAAAGGGTAAATGATGTTTTCGTTTGGTTTTTGACTTTATTTTTGATAGTGTGATATTTAAACAACACCCGACATAAATCAGATTTGTATTGTATGTCTGAAAATCAGTTATAGTTAACATAATATATCAAATATAAATTATGTAATTTATAAATAAAAAAAAATAATCCCTCTCCACGAAAAAAGAGTTTGACTCTCTATTCGGCACATTTTTATAAATAAATAAAAATTGATTTGGCTGGTAATAATTGGATTTCCAGAAAACGCCATCGCAAAATACTATAGGTACTCCTTAATTAATATCGATTGTTATATTGTACGTTTACCGAAAACGATGGTAAATAATAACATTGTTATTCACCGACAAATATTAAACTATATAGGTAGGTATATGTGAATATTTCATATTATACAAACTACAACATGTTTGTTCATATGACATCCAAGGAGCGTTTTCTTTTTTTGGAAAAAAATTTCAGAAGTGTGTATGTCTAATAAGAAATTGTACCTGGCGCGAGCGTTACAGTAACGTGTGTTTGCCAACCTCATTTCCAGTTATTTGGCGGTCCTTATGTCACCCCAGGGAACGATGCTAGACTATTCATACGTTTAAGTCGTTTGCGGTAAACTATTTTTGAGGACTATCTTTTTATAACACTCACGTTTGTTATAATAGTACATTCATACGTGTTATTAAGAGTAATTCTGTAAGTTTGGAAACTCGCGTGTACGCCACATACCTTCGTATCTACATGGTTGTTTAGAATAATTAAATGCAAATTTACATGTTCATTGTTTACCCCCGTTTTGTAATTAATTTAAACCATAGCCAAATAGGATAAATTCATATGTTTATACAAATATATTTTAGGTTTATAATATCAACGATATACGTTATACCCATACAAATATTGCAAATATTATGTTGCCATAGATGTCAATACTTGAAAGTACCTTCAACTTCCATAACGTTGCACACGGTACACGTGCCACGTGGTTTAATTAAAATTATGTATCGTTTTTATTACAAAGCTGTATTTATTCTGAATTATCCTAAAGCGCACGTTAAGATTAATATACCTACTTGATATAATATTATTATTTTATCGTGTCGAGCTATGTGAGTTTATGCGATACAGCTAAAACACCGTATAGAGTTTTGTAGCATGCCACATAAACCTCATTGATGCATACTCAGGGATAGAAGCCTTTTTAAAAACTAATAATACAAAAAAAAAGAAGTAAACATAAACAATATCGAATACTAAAACACATTTTTAATACTCAAAAACAATTGCACATATTACCTGTATTTTAAATTATTTCAAATTTAAAAATTGCAAACTAAAATTTTGAAACTAACTTTTTTTTTTACAAAATTATTTGAGACGGTGTATAGTACACTTGTAAGCCGTGTCATTTTTTTTCCTAAGAAAAAGTTATTCTTAGTATAAAAGTAAATAATAATTTTTTTTTTTTAAAAACCTTTTTAATTTTAATAAAATTAGAATTATTATGAAAATTGTATACATAGTAGTTATTTGGTGATTTTTATCTTACATCGAGATTCTAAAAAAACCTTTTTATTACAACGTCAAACGAAATTCTTTAAAATGTTTTCAATTTCTGTAAAAAATTACATTATAATTTGTAATCTGATAGTATCAGGTCATAATGAGCTATCCCCCCGTATGACATGTTTAATAGTATATTTGATTTAAGATGTTTTTGTTAAAATAAGTTTTAGAACATATAGTTTAAATTACACTGGTAGTTGGACAGACAGACTTTTGAATTCCATAATAAATTATGGACAAAACAGTAGAATGATTTTGGGTCTGCTCATATGTCATCTGCATACTCGTGTAATGTATTTACTATTTAATTAAACACATGTCCACAAAACCTTTGATAATACAATGTAATCAATCAAAGTACTCGAGTGGTATTTTTAGCTTCTTACAATTAAAAACTATATAACTGTAGGTCACACGGTAATAGTTGTATTTTAACATATTAACATAACAACATACTTAAACGTTAGGTTTACATGGTCGAAAAGTAGCAATGTTAGTAATTTGTTTTTTAACCAAATAAATACAATTTATCGGTTATTTTACTCTGCGTCTTACATTCCATAAACATATGTAGTTTCTTGCTAGAACATTTCTCTTCTGAACTGTTTTTATTATTGGAATTTATTTTTTAATACTTTTCAAACTTTTTACTCTAGAGTCTGATTATATATAGAATGTACTTGTTTTTATGGATTCGTAGTATCCGTTAGATGTTTTGTGGTGTTTAATGTGTAAATGTTGTGAAAATATTTAGATTTATTATTTTAATTCTGTCAAGAATTCAACAATTAATGAACACGATTACATGGCATAATTATAATGTACATAATATATTAAAGAAAATACCACTCTAAAAATTGTGTAACAAAACTGTCAGTAACGTTGTTTAATTCTAACTCTAGGCTCAAGGGCTATCAGAAAAGTTTATTTTACTTCTGAATGGCTTATGGCGAAGTATAAATTACAGAGTTTTTACTTGTCGAGTCATTACAGGAGACTTACGACAAATGACCGCTTTTGTCAAAAATCGTGGCGTACATTCGAAGATAAATTGTTGAAACTCGATTTTGACAGAAAACCAACACTAGTTTTAACTTTAAACGATTCAAATTTACCACCTTGTTTAAAATTCTAATAAATTGAAAGTTAGGTAGGTATTATTATGGGCAATCTATTAATTACCGCGAGGAGAGATACAGCTACATTAAAGAGGTTTCTTAAATTTTATTAGTTAGGTTTAATACGAATCTAATGCTGTGAGATGTTGTGTATTCAAGCCCCTGAAACAATAATATAATCATTTGGAATTGATTTCTCTGGTAAATTAATTACACTTTACTATTTAACAATTTTGATAATTGTAACAATTGTATCTTCTTTCGATCCGCAGGCTTTTAAGTGTTGCACGCAATGCACGTAACCAATTGGTTGAAGTGTGCATTCAAGTCAATAGGCCACTGTAGTTTTAATAATGTTATTTTCCGGCCACTGCTATTGCCGTTTTCAATTTTGACAGACCAAAATTTAAAACCGTGCACATGCTATGTATTAACCATTTCATTGCCTAAACAAATGATTTTCCATGTCGTTTTCTCAACTAAGTGGTGCATTTTTCTGCAAAGACGTACATTAAACGGAAGAAAAGAATTTGTTTTATTTTTTGTAGAACGCACCTCACACATATAAGTTGCTTCCAAGAAAAAAAATGCCATCACTCGTAACGTACATAGATGCACACCAAGCAGCATATTATTGATAATGGTGTTAATATACTCTTCGTGATGATTCAGCCGCACGCCACGAATACATGCAACCAAGCTATTTTCATTGCACAACAGTTCTCATGCATTTGTACGTTGCTAAAAGGTTGGGCCACCGGTAATTCACATCTCAGCAAACATCTTGGAATTCCATTGAGTGAATTAGTTTTACATTTTTGATGGTTTAAATTAAGTCGGATCCTCGAAGACGATAAAGACAAGAACTTGGTGGGGCTTCGTTATCCATGCAGCGGTCCAGCCATAGAAAAAGTCTCGGTGAACTGACAGAATTTAAGAGATGTGTTTGATTAAATCGTATTAGTGATCAATGTAATAGAAGCCACTCAATTTTTTTGAAAAGAATTGAAATTTTCTAGTTTTATTTTTTGCAAACGTTTAGAGTACATTATTGTCGTTTTATAATACTTAATTAGTTTTAGTATTTTCTAAAGTAGTCTTCGACTCTTTAAATTTTATCGATTTGTTCGCAAAATATATTCTTTTATATCAAGAAAAATCTACTGTTAATGCTTACTGATCCGTAACCAGATTTGAGTATAGATTATAGTATAAGATTGGAGTTATTAGACTTAAAACGTGTAGGCGAGAGAGATGTTGTAGCCTAATAATATTTTTTATTCTATGAAATCCCAACTCGTCATATCAAAAACCACACATGCTATGTAGTAGTCAATCTGATGACTTATTTCTAATCATATAA